TAATAGACTCCTTATACCATCTAAATATTCATTTTCCTCATTAAGAAAATGATCTCTGTTTAAAAATTCTTGGCCATAAACACTTCTTACTGAAACCATCTTCATCAAGACTTTTTAATCTGTTCATTCAGGCACTATTCTAAATGATGAATTTCTTAGCTTTCATAAAGCTTAGGTTTAATGGGGAAAGACCAACAAAAAAAGTACCAGATGGCAGTGAGACTATGCACATAACTGAAATACACTGGCCTTCCAGAAGGACTGGCCCACTGACTGAGAATGAGGGGTCAAGGAGGGCAACTTCAAGATGACATTAAGATGAGATAAAAATGACACAATGGAGACAAAGGTAAAGTCAGAGGAAAAAGGATCTGAAATAGAAAAACTCTAAGGTAAAAATGAACTTACAATGTTTTAGGAGGAAAAAAAAACCCTTGAGCACACAGTGGGAGTATGCACAAGACCAGAGGGAGCAAGAGCCACGTCAGGAAGATACGGCAAACCTGGAGGAGGAGTCTGGTTCTCATCGTAAACATGATGAAAAAGTACTGAAGAATCACGTAACATGACGTGTCATTTGGGAGCTGGACTGTAGAGGAACACAGTGAGGAGCAGGCAGGCAGTCAGGAGAGTATGGAGCAGCTGCTACGAGAGGTGACAGCGGTGTGCTAACACAGCCAGGGTCACCTGTGGAAACCCTCAAGTGGTCATAAACTCAGGAGCCTTAAGGCTCTGATCAAGTGAGAGCACCCCGCTGCTGGAAGAGCGAAGCCAGAAACCAGCGCTTAGGCCTGGCGATTCGGCTCCCTCCCCTGCAGAAGTAGCCTTATACAGCAACATTTAACTGTTTCCAGGTGCACATGGCAGAACCGGGGATCCACATGAGGCTACAGAGCTCACCACATTTCAGGTGAACAACTGCTGTGCACAAAATAGGGATATAACCTCTTCCCCATTTTGAAATTTCTCTACAAGGCCAGGCATGGTAGCACATGCCTATAATCACAGCACACAGGAGGCTGAGACAGGAGGATGGTGGACAGTTCCCGGCCAGTATAATGAATTCAAGATCAGACTAAACTATATAGCAAGACCTACGCAAATATATAAAATATATAAATATATAAACTACATAGCTATAGACAGATAGATACTTCCCTATCAGGAATTTCTTGTTTATCTCACCAAGTAAAAGCATGACTTTCCAAGAAGATTTGGACATAGCCGTATATATTAACCTCAATAGTCAGACACTCCAAAGGAAAGGACTTAAATTTTTAGAAGAATAGAATATGGCAAAGAAAAAGAATAAAATTAAGACCAGGGTTGGCACACTCTAATCAGTTCTTAAGAACTTTCTCTGGTAAAATCTCTCGGCAAATTAACAATAGCTTACTAAATAAGCAGAGCAGACAGTAAAACACTACTCACAACATACTATGAAAACTCAATCTGAAGAAAAAAAAAAAGCAAAGGAACAAGAGAGTGACAAGGGAATCCTCTAGGAAACAAATTCCTCCCAGCTGGCTTCATGAAATCATTTCAGCTCTACTAATTTGTAATTTATGATGATTCAAACTGAAACTGAATAACAGTACTTTTTAAAGGCTATTATGATTAATAATAATAAACATTATTGAATGTTTACATGCATATAACCACACAGTCAGTGCTTTTCATGCAGTATCTCATTATATTTTTAAACCAACTTTATCAAACAGAAACTATTACCCTCATTTCCAGATGAGGGAAATTAAGATTTAAAGATGTAAAGTAACTTCTCTGATGTCATATTTCTGCTATATGAAGAAACAGGATTTGTAAATAAAATGCATCTAAATTCAAAGCATTGTAATCTTAACTATTACTTAATATGTCACTTAATATCCCAAATCATAAAAAGAAATATCACTAATATCTGGTAGACCTTCAGAATAGACAACAGAAAAAAAAATTTTATTGTACATATCTTATGATTTTAATAATTGCATACTGAAATAATTTATGTGCTAACTTCAAATTACTCTGTCCAAGTTCCTTCTCTCCTGGCTACTTCATGAACTTGCTCCACTTACTCGTTACATTTAAACATAATAAAACTTAATTTTCCATAAAAATAAAAACATAATTCATCTTTGTATCTATTCTCTATTCTCTATTTCAGACTATTCTCTATCATCTGCCCACATTTTTAAGTGTAATATTTTTAGTAAAACGCAAATAATAATATAGTATAGAATAAATGCATACACACATTTTCCTTCTACTAAATTTAGCTAAAATTTGAGTACTGCTGTTAATATTTTCACAGACTACACATTTGTTTTCAATATATGCTTTCTACTTCACTTGCAAGTAGGACACAATAATGGATTTAAAAACACTTAAGCAGAAGATGACTATGTTTGACACTAAGCATAATCCGGTTTCAGATCTCTTGCTGTGTTTCATCTGCTTTGAATGACTGTAAGATACCTATATAAATCTTACTACTGCAAGCCGCCTTTATGAAGTTATATACTCAAAGAGAAAATGAGTGCATACCACTATACTATAACAACATAACATCAATACAGAAACAAACTGTAAAATATTCAGGAGACTCAGAGGTAAAGCCCTAATAGGTTTAACAGCAGACTATTCTTTCACTATATGACCTAATGAAACTGGGCCAGTGAGAGATTATGTACCAAATATCTCAGAAAATGTTTATCTATAATCTGTTCACTCTACATATGTAACATTCTATGTGACTGCATACTCTGCTCTGTGATCTTGTTCTGGAAGAGAATATTACAAATACATGTCAGAAAGGAGTTCTAAGTAGCTAAACCAAAGCGAAAAAATCTTGACTTTTATACTATTTAATACCATACACAACGTTGTATTCATTTTCTGCAGAAATTCAAATATTTATTTTTACAACCTGAGGAGTGACACCACAGTCCAGTCCACCAGCTTCTCTAGTCTGACATTCTGCTTCTGATTGTGTTCATTGGTGGATACCTAACAGGACACCATAAACACAACACACAGAGGATATGATCATGTACCACTACATCATTTTCTCAGGCGGCGGTTAGATTATACTCTGAAAGGAATGAAAACAAAGTCAAACTCCCCATCGTCCTCAATAACTTCCCATAAGGTGATGGGAAACGTCCAACAGGCATAAATTGAACCAGAGTATGAGCCAATGCTTTTGTAACATGACAACTCACTAAGAAATGACCTACTTAAATGAAAATCTGGATCCAGAAACAGAACATCATCAAATCTTGTGATTTGTAAGGAAGGTTTCAATAAATTGAAAACCATCTTATTTTAAACATTGCTTGTAACATACATAAATAAAATTTAAACCTTTAAAAAACAAAAACCACCAGTTTATCCCAAGCCACGCCACTCTGTGATTTGTTACAGTTTTCTTGGGAGTAATATCAGTGTTTCTAACTCTTCAGAGAAATTCACACCTGTTTTATAATACTTTTAAATTAAAGCTTAGATTTAGGAAACGTTCATCTCAGTGTGCAAAACCACATAATGCCTAAATCTTAGTTTGGCCCTTTAGGACATATTATTTCCTAAAAATTTCAGGGAGGAAAAATCATACTATTTTTTAAACAACTTTGGAAAAGATAATTCTCTTGGTAGTATACATGGGTATTGATTTAACAATTTTTGTACTCAGGAAGCAATTCTTGACCTAAATCCTCCATGGTATAATTTTAATTCATTGTCTCTTTTGCTGACCCAAAAAAAGTTGGGAACTATTAGGTCATATCATATGATTTCATTATTTGTAAACCTTTATTAATGTCTCCTTTCTGAAGTTACCGCTTATAAGATTATGAACCAGATAGCAGCCCAATCCTGAGCTGCACTTTAAAACATTTATGTGCTATCATAAACCAAAACCAGATCTCAAAAATTACTTATCCACTTTTTTTTAACCAAGGACCAGTCCTTTCCTTAATATATTCTTACAAAATCATCTGTATTTTAAGACAAACCACAAAAATTCAAAAAAGGGAGTTTAAGAGATGGGAACAAGAAACAATGCATATAAAATTCCACAAAGACACTGGTTCCTTCTCTAGACCAAAGATCATTTGATGAAATTTGTCTCAAAGCCTCTGGGACAGAGCTGACGCTGCAATGCAGTACCATAAAACCTACAGCTGTGCTGCTGTTAACAGCCTATGCTTCTTCCTTAGGCCACAGGAAGCCAAAACACACGCTGCCAAAACGGAACTTAGCTTCACAAGAATGGGTCAAAAGCACCAACGTATTATGAGACAGAAAGCATCAAAACAGTTACGAAACAGTGTAGATTCAGTGAAGGTGAGTCTATACCACACTCACTCCTGAAATGAGGGGCTTAACATGCCTAAAAGATGTTTCTCAGAATGTAATGTACATTATATAATTTATGAAATTCAAAGGCTATCATTTATGAAAAAGTTATTGAGAAGACTGTATGTACCCATCAGAACTTTCTATTCAATTTGCTCAACTCAATTTGGAAACAGCTAAAAAAAAAAAATATTTCCGAATACCAAATCCTTTCCTCAGTTATAAAAAACATAGAATAGGCAAATGTCCTAATAAATTCTCTGTTCCGGCCACTATACCAAACTACCTCAGACTGACAGCCTAATCAACATTATTTCTCCCCAACTCCAGAGACTAAGCAGTCCAAGCTCAAGATGCCAGTAGGTAGATCCAGTGTCTGCTGAAGAACACCCCTTTACCAGTTCATACACAGCCACCAACGTGCTATATCCTCTCATGGCAGATACAGAGATCATCTCTCTCATAATGCACCGCTTCTTAAAAAGGCACTGATCCCATTCAAGGAAGACCTACTTACCTCTCCAAAGCGCCTCCTCCAATTTCCACCATCCTGATGTTTCGAGGTTCAACATACAAATCACCAGGGGGACACAAACATTGCTCCCACAGCAGCAGATGAACTTCACATAAATAAGAGTACTCACTTTTATTGCCTACCAATGCAACCAGTGGCTGAGTTTCTGACTCCTCACTCACTTTCTTCACCACAGAATACCAGTCTTCTAAATTCTCAAAGCTTTGATAATTTGTGATATCATACACCAAGAGGATTCCCTGTCATGAAAGAGGTACAGAATTCTGTAATGTACTACTTGAAAAAATATTAATAATAAACACTCAAGTGAGGTTTCAGGTATGTCAGGCAAAGTGTAAAAACACAACTGTGGAGTTTTTGCATACAAATTGACTTCAATTTAAATTATTTCCTAGCAAATAAATGATCTGCAGTGGTTCCATTCAAGACACATCCAGCAATTAAGGTGTAGGCAAGACACAATTTTATCAACATTATAAGTTGTTTCCATTAAGACACAAGAGATGTGTTTCATAAATTGCAGTAAATGTAAGAAAATGCTACTACAGAGGTAGAAAAAGCTACAAAGTCTACAATCCTCACTTTCATGAGATCAAACATTTAAATTTTTCAATAACCATCTGCTGGCTCTCTTTTTAAATATTTTCAAAAATGGATATTCCATACCATCCCTTGATAGTCAATTTAAGTGTTTAACACAATTTTCTTTAAATAAAATGTCGATTTCCTCTTTTGGTCCTCTGTGCATTTGGAGGACAACTTGAGAGTATCTTCTTTATAATAACCCTTCATATACTTGAAGATAGTTAAGAAAGTCCTTTACAGTCTGCTTTCCAGAGTAAATAAATGTAGTTCCTTAAACTTGCCTCAAAGGGCCTATTTTCTGTGTCTTTAATCATAGTTGTTGATTCTTTCCAGGACACACCACATATAGTTTTTTGACATCCTCTTTAAAATGAGCACTGTAAAACTGGATATGATACTGTAATAAGAGTCTAAGCAGAGCCAAATACAACAGAAGGATTGTTTCCTGTCTCTTATATATCACATTCCTTTTAATTTATCCCATTATTTTGTGGGGAAAGAATAAGGAGTACATACATACACAAAAATAACATTCTTGATTCTCATCCAGTTTGTGGTCAAATACTTAATACTAACTTCTGCAAGAAATATAAGTTGGAACTCTAAAATGGTGTTCATGTCTACTTCTGATATAAAAAGAAAAGTCAACCACTTTTTTATACAGTCTATGCATCAGATGTACATCTATGTATTTTTACTAATCCTCACAGCAATCACAGGAGATTACCAATATTATTCCCACGTAACTGATACACAAAGGTTACAAAAACAAGATCACACATTCAGATTACATGAGAGAGAAGACTTAAATCATAGATTAAGTGACTGAAAACACTGTCTGCCAACAGTACACTAATCCTTAGGCTGGACACTAAGCATGCAAGTTCCAAACCTCATAGAACACAGTTTTGCAGCAGAATCAGCCACATAAACAGGCAAATACACAACAGAATCATCATAGCCTGTAACAGGTTGGTAAATATTAATCAAATGGCTTGGGCTCAGTGGGGAGGTGCGTATTATTTGTTACACACACAATTTTCATCGGGTAAGTACTGCTCTGCAGCCATTTTCAAGCCATCAGCATGACATCACTAAGCACAAGCTCGTGAGGATACCATTAAATCATAGAGAATTTCTACTGTACAGATATACTAACGGAAATAACTCCAAGACTATGATTAACAAAAATACATAACAAAATAATTGGTAAATGGTGCATTTGGGCACAAAATGGTTTTGTTTTACTATAACTGGTAAATTTATATAAAAATTTTAATCATTAGTATATTCAATAATTGGCTCACAAAAATTACTGAAATTTTACCAGCTGCCTTTGTGAAGACAGAACAGCTGACTCTAGAATACAGCTCTTAGAATACTCTAATACTATGCTCTTTAGTTGAATCACTGGACCTTAAACTATCTTCTTTGGGCAGATTTCTTGTCTTTCAAAGTAGAGTTTTAAGTTAGTCTCTAAGATTCTTTTCAGTTTAAATATTCTATAATTTTTACACAAAACTATTTGTCTTATTCATTCCATTAACTTGGGACCTATTTCTGTCCGTCTTTGAGATACTCAGAAATAATTCCCAATATATAATTATCTGAAATAAGGGCATAAGTTCACTTTACCTAAAGATAAAGCTCCAAAACTCACCTCATGATAACTAGTCTTCTACTAACCCTGCTCCAGTTGCTATGGATATATGTTGAAAGACCACTACTCTTAGACTCCAGTCTTGGACCCATCATATATCAACCTTGGAGAAAGATTCTGTTATCTCACTTTAAAAATAACAAGTCGAGATGACAAAGTGAAATAATAAAAATGCACAATAAGAAAGGCTGAAGCATGCAGCTCATGATGCAGTGCTTTTCCAGAATTCACAAAGTCCTATGCTCAATCACCAGCTCCCCAGTGCACACACAGGAAAAAAAGCACAGACATTAAGTAATTCACTTAAAATTAATGTACATACAACTGCACAGGATGTTTCGTTTTTATTATTCTTCTGAATAGACAATACTCATATTTACATAACAATTTTAAGATATAGTTTAGTCATTAAAGCAAAGACCAATGATGCCTAACCTTTGAGATTTTTGGAACTTTACAGATTAATATATGAGAATCTTCATCCCAACAGTATAACACCTGAATATGATAAAATATATGGAAATAAAACATGACCACCATCTAATGACTGATGCTAGATCAGTAACGTGGAATGAAAATTTAAAAACACTGTTCTAAACAAGAGGTTTGTAAACCTCATGAATGAAGTCCAGGCCACAGGCTGTATTTGTAGATAAACTTAGGTAAACTTGATTAAAATATAGTCATACATGTTTACTTAAGCATGATCAATGGCTGCTTTTGTGCTACAACTACAGAGTTCAATAGCTGTTAACAGTGACAGTATGTCTTGCGAGGCCGAGAGCATTTACTGTCAAGTTCTTTCTAGGAAAACTCTGCCAATCCCTGGTCTACACCAACATGTCCAGATAGAGGGCATACAAAAATACAGGAGGATAAATTCCCATTTATCTTGCCTTCTGCCAACCTAAACAATTATCTTCAAATACTCAATGCAATTTAATGTAAAAACTATTTTTTCATTGTTCTTACAGCCATAATTTGTCCTGGTTTTGATCTTTACTACTACGGTAAAATTCTGAAACAGAAAGATTAAAGAATTAAAAATATTAAAATACAGGCTGGGACTGGGAGGAGCTGACCAACAAGCCAACTGGCCATTTCAAAATTAAATTGATAGCAGCTTTGAAGCAGCAAATACTGATGGCAACACGTAACAGTTTTAACAGTAAAATATTACACAGACTTAATTATACAATTCAACATGCACTAAGACCAGTACATACAATATTTAACCACAAAAATGAAAGATCCCCTCATTTTCAAAATACAGGTAATTTTTTTCTTCCTGAACTGTAAGAGAAATAATATATCTTAGTTTTTAGTTACATAAAGGAGTAATTAAATCACACAGAATATATAATACAGTAGCCATAAGAACAAAATATTTACCTGTGTAAGTACAAACTATAAGGAACACTAATGCGAAAGAGGTCTATAAATATAATCAGTCATAAATTGGCAAATACCCAACTAAACACTTCAAAGTAAAAAATAACAGAGGTTGTCAGGGAGTCGTTTCCAGACATGCTAACACGTCAGCTGTCGCACCGGCACCAAACCATTTGGTTGGTAGTTAAGGGACAGGCTCATCTGTGTGGGGCAGTGGCACACAATAGCCGTTGTGTTCTACCTCACAAATGACTGCACTTCATTGAGTTTATGCTCAGTGGAGCAGTGTTTGCAAACCACTTAGATTCCAGGACGGAAAGACCTACAAAACTGAAACATCCAGTCCTCCTCTGAGGTGTGCTGTTAGCCTCTGTTAGCCACAGGTTCCAGGGCACTAAACACTATGCACTGTGTGTTTGCTCCTAACCGCTAGGAAAAACAGCCTATAACATCCTTCTGAAGACTTCTAGAAAATGTTAAGTTAATTTAAAATCTAGGAACATAACTGGCATAAATTTCAATTCTTAGAACTAGTTCTTTCCAAAATATCTCACTAATTCTTTTTGGGTGTAAATTCAATTTGTTTTCAACCAACACTGTTCAACCGTCTATTGCTAAAGTTTAATGTTATCAGTTAGAAAAGTAAAGAAAGTAAAATAATCAGCTTTAGCTAGACCTAAATTAATGTCTAACCTACAAGTAAGTTTCTTCCTTTTGTAAATGACTCAAAAAAGTAATTTTCTACTTTAATAGACCATATATGTATAAAATAATTCTCACACACACAATTCAGAAGATAGAAAATCTAAAATTCCTGGGCTTAGGGATGGGAGTCAGACAGAGGAATCCAAAACTATCAAGATATACTATATACAAGTAACAGTATCCCAAAATGAATTTAACTATTAGATACTACAAACACACTAATTAAAATATATATTTAAAAATTTTTAATCTTAAATAATACTTTAAACTGATGCTCTCCAAATAGCATGTCAAAACATTATTTGTAAAAGATTTCATCATGAGCTCTAACATTGGCCGAAATCCACAGTATTACTTTCTATTTCCAAATATCTACAACTCTAGAAGCAAATGAGTTCTACCTTGAAAAATACATTTTTTTTTGTAATTATTAAGTATATTAGAATTTTCAAAGGCATTGCTTTTGAGAAGCAGCAATTTCCTCTGAGTTACTGTTATAAACAATGAGAGCTCCACTCATTCTATTACTGAGCTTCACGCAGCACTGTCTCTATACACCATAACAAAATAAACTAGTGACAAATGTACTGCATGTGCTTTACCACAGCACTTAGTTTGTAATCTCTTTGGAAGCAGAAGTTACTGCATCATCATCAATTTATGCCAACCTCATTTCATCATGTCAGAATTCCTAATTTTCTAGGATAATTTTATAAAATATTCAAGAATTTCTCAAAACACTATGCTACATTATCATCTACTTACAAAAGTCGCAGAAATTATAAAGTTTAAAAACAATGCATAATCAGCAAAAGAAAAACGTCGATACATACTTCAACACAGAAGCCACACAGGACAAGTTCTACAAAGGAATATAATGTTCACTTTCTCTGAAGAAACGAAGTATACTAAAAGTGTATCCCACCATTCTTAAAAAACATGAAAATTCTTGAAGTGTCTTGAAGTTCACATTAATGCCTGCTGATTGTAAGGAGCTATGTAGTAATATCAAATATGTAGTGATTTAAAATTATTACACAATATTGTCAATGTACGAAATGCCACTGATTATATACATTTCAGAATGGTTAATTCAAAGATATTGCGAAATAGGAAAAATGTCCAAATGGTGAGGGGAATAAAGAAAAAGGGAGGAGGAAAGGAAAGAAGATAAAAATAAAGAAAAATGTTTTTAAATTTTAAAAAATGAGAAAAGGAAAACATGAAAATAAAGTTTTTATAAATGGGGAAGGTTTGAAGGAAGGGTAGGAGAACAGGGAAAAATTGAATGGCTTTATTTTACATTATGTGACTTATATAGCAATGTTTATTTTTACATGCTACAAATAAATTTCAAGTAATTTAAATAAATTAAACAATAAATTTTAAGGCTGGGTATGGTGGTACATACCTGTAATCTCAGCACTCAGCACTCAGAAGGCTGAGGCAGGAGGATTACTGCAAATTCAATCCAGCCTGAGCTACAAAGTGAGTGCAAGGTCACCCTGAACTACTTACTGAAACCTATCTTTTAAAAGCTCAAAATAAATAAATACACAAATAATTTTAAATTATTTTAAGTAAAGGAGAATTACAGGATCCAATTCATGAACATTATAATCCTCTAAATTTAATTAAATTTTCTATTTTTACCCTGAAATGTGTAAAGTACTCCCCTTTCACTAACTCTAGCTATACTATGAAAAGTCATTTTATCTGACACCTAGAATCAAGTATCACAGAAGTCAGACTACTCTTAATGTTTATTTTTTAAAAGTCCTAGGCCAGGCATTGTGGCGCACGCATGTAATCCCAGCACTCAGGAGCTGAGGCAAGAGGGTTCCTGGGAGTTTGAGGCCAGCCTGGGCTACAAAGTGAGTTCAAGACCAGCCTTACCTGCATAGCAAAACTCTATCTCAAAAAAAGAAGAAAAATAAGTAAGTAAAAACTCCTATATGTGGCCTGAATAAAGACTTTTATGGTACAAAAAAGAAAAAGAATTATCTTCAAATCACATTTCACGAACCACGTAAGTCAAACATTGATTTTTGTTTCCTACATCTCTGTCCAGTTTTCTTCAGCATAATATATACTACAATTAATTTTTAAAAATTAAAACAATAGCAAGTATTCAGACACAAAGGTCTGATATATAGGTTTTAAAAGTAAGTATACATAAAAACACACTCATCTGATCACAAATTTAAATGTTAAATATGAGCGGAAATATTTTGTAGGAGACAAAAGACAATGTAGAAGAAAAGACACAGGAGAAAATTTTAAGAGTCAAATATGTACATGAACAATTTTTTTAAATCTCTAGGGTCTTTACAGGTGATTAGAATCATACTAAGCTCCTCTGTCATCCTTTAAATATTTTACAAAATAAATTAGAATCTATTTTCCATTTAAAAGTATGGAATTAGCCAGGTGTGGTGGCTCACACCTGTAATCCCAGCACTCGGGAGGATGAGGCAGGAGGATCATTGCAAGTTCGAGACCAGCCTGGGCTACAAAGGGAGCTCAAGGCCAGCCTGAACTGCATAGGGAGACCCCATCTCAAAAAAAAGACAACAACAAAAAAAAAGTATGGAATTGATTTTTGTCAAGAACCCAATTTTGTACAGGAAAGTGTCAACATCTTCTCTGTTCTATAGATTCATGTTTTATGAAGAAACACACTTCCAAATCCAAAGTTACATTTCTGCTACTCAAACACCAAACTTCAATAAAAAATTGAATGAAGATTTTGAGCACTGTGCTCACATGTCTGGTGATGAGGTGAGAGATGTGCACTAATTTATTTTATTTTATTTTTTGTCTTGTGCACTAATTTAAAGCGTAAGAAAAAAACAAAGACCACACCAAACAGTATTAAACACAGAGCTTAGCAGGCATCGTGGACCTCATTTTCAGTTTCCACCACATATAGTACTCTACTTCATCAAATAATTATACTCAATGGCATTATGGTATTCTTAGATCCTAATTATTAAATCAACACCAATGTGTCAAAGCATTAAAATGGCAACTTCTTCACTGAACATGCTCACAGTAATAAACTTTTTAAAGTACATTACAACCATAGATATTGTTTCTTTGTACTGATTTTACCTAAAAACTTATAAACTATATCTATTGCAAGCTCATGTTGCCAAATAATTTTTATGTAATTATTCAGGTGATTTTCTTGCTCTACATAGATTTTCTCCTGAAAAGACATCATTATCATATTAGTTTACTGTATCTCCTTTATACATATTGTAGTACTTTCTTATCTGATATAAAATATAGATATGGCTATTAAATATATTTTGGTTTTAGTTATTTCTTTTTACTTTTAATAATGCAAGAAAGTAATAAAAATACAAAAAATGCTTATTGCTTCTATGAAAAACATTTCATAACAAAATAAAAATGACAACAGTCAACATTATATATATCATGACCTTAAAATAACCAAGAGAAATGAAAAACAACTCTTACAAAGAAGAAAACCAAAGGACCAATCTTTCTTTCCAGCAAACAAAAAGAAACTAGTAGTACAATGAAACAAATTAGCATGCATCTCAAAATATTTTTGAAACATCAGAATAGACAATTTGTGCAATTACATATTTTAACTTCTCTCCCTGATTCCTACTTATCAGTCTTTTACTTTGCATCCTCTCCATATTCACATAAGAGAAACCATGCAATACTTAAGCTTGCGTGTTTGATTTATTCCACCCAACATTATGTTCTCAAGTTGTATCCAACTGCCAACACACGCCTCAAGCTTATCTTTGTTTATGGCAGAGTAGTACTCCATTGTTTATAAATACCACATTGTCTTTACCCATTCGTCTACTGATGGACATATACACTGTTTTCAAGATTTAGCAATTATAAATTATGCTGCTATAAAATGGGTATCCACGTATCCCTGTAATATGACTTGGAACTCTTGGGAAGATTCCTACAGAGGAAACTAGTTTTGGGTTTTTCATGATCTTGCTATATAGCCCAGCCTGGCTGCCTAAGACTCACAAACATGGAATTACAGGCATTTGCCACCATGCCCAGCTCAATTTGAAGAACTGTAATTATTTGCCAGACCAAGTCACAGACCAAAATCACTTGCAATTTAAAATGAAATTAAATTTCCATTTTTCATTTAGTCACCTAACAGTGGACACTATAAGGAAATCAGTTAACATCAAAATATCACTTATCATTGTACTTATTCAACTGTTGAAAATAATATCTAGTAATATAAGCAGCATATGAAAACTGTTAAAGAGATTTCCAGTTCCAACCAATCAATGCCACCCATTCACACATAAATACCATCCCACACATAATCTGGGGAGAATAAAACCAAAGAACTAGCATAAATGTAAAATGATCTCTCTACATATCAGATAAAATTAAGATGCGGAAGAACGTGTGTGCCCAGGCACCTGTATGTATGTACACAAGCGCACATGTTTTGGTAAGGGATGAATTCAATTCTACAGTAATCAGAATTCATACTATACCTGTGCTCCATAGATATATTTATCCAACATTTTTCCACCTAATGTCTGCCCTCCTATATCCAAAACTTGCAGAGTAACATTCAAATTTCCTAAAATAAAAAAAGCACATAAATAACAATGCAACAGCTGAGTTGTGAGTATTCACAAAAATACCACATCACAGTGATACACTGAACCCAATTTGCCTTTTATTCTACAAACTCATATGATCATATATTTGCAATTGTTAAAATAATGTCAAAGAAATCATAGTTGGGAATCAAGATTTCTTTTTTTACGTCCATAGAACAGTATTTACAACATCCCTCAAAACAAAAAAGAAAGTAAAGTTACCCATAATTTAAAAACTTATGCCTTAGAAAGCAAAATAAGGAAGGAAGAATAGAAGGCAGGCAGAAAGAGAGAAAAAAGGGAGTGAGGGAAGAAACACTGAATCTCAGGGGAAAAAAACAATAAAGCGCATAGGCATGGAGTGAGAAATGCACTTTAAAAATAAAAACTGAAGCTTGATATACTAACCCATCAACCATACATAGGAATTTTGCTGTCCGCTCTAAACTCTGAATTCTACATCTCCCAGAATAGTAACAGATTACAAAGATGCACCCACAATTTCAACCCAAATGAATGAACTGTTTTTAATTTTAATGTTAACTGTGACATGTAAAGGTAAACAATCAAAAGTTATATTTTAAATTTAACCTCTAAAATAAAATCATGTTTGATAGTCTTGCCCGGAAAAGATGTAGGATTCAGAGACCCAACATCTCCGTAAATATTTGATGCATTCATATCCATTCGAAGAATATACACTGAAATAATTATAGGACTATCAAAGCCCTCATAAAATAGTGTAATTAATCTTTTTCCCCATATAAGCAAAAACAAAAGCATTCTAAAACACTGAAAGACAGTCTTTAAAATTCATTGGTGCATTTTGCAAAATATCTGACTAAAGCGAATATTAGAGATAAACTATTTTTATCAATGCAACTAATGATTGAGCTATAAAAGTCAAATAACATATCCAATGTGCATTTTAGATTAATATTTCAAACTATTTCTCCTCACAAAACTATGTAGTTTTCGCCAAAGTCTCAACTAGTACCTTCTGAGTGATTTGCAAATCAGGAAAATTCAAAATAAAACTGGAAAAACGATCTCATTTCAAAAGCAAAAGGGAATGTACGCCAGTGTAAAACACTAAAGTCAGACAATAACTATACATCTGAAAAGAAAGTACGACACTGGATCCACCAGTGAAGTTTCACCCTTAAATGTAAGTCTGGTGAATTTTTATTACAATCTTTTCATTACACAGATACAGGGCTGTTCCACCTGCCACAGTACAGAGGACTCCAGAAAGAGCTTCCAATTAGCATTAACAAAAGCTACTGAAATTTAACGCCATTTCCCATGACCACACCTTCCATGCTCACAGAAGAACAACCAAATGCTGTTAGAGCCCTGTGAATCTGAAGAAGCAAATGTCACAAACTAAGATCTGTCCAACAACTTCAATAAACACAATGTCTTAAAACTCTAAATTTGTGGGGGCTGGGGATTTAGCTCAGCGGCATAAGCACCTGCCTTGCAAGCACGCAGTCGTGAGTTTGACCCCTTGTACCGATAATAAGAAAAAAAAAAGTGTAAAAAAAAAAACAAAACTCTAAATTTGTGAGATTCAAAACTGAAATTATACTCCCACAATATCATCTGAAATTAAGCAGGTGAGAAGGCTTGCCATCAGCATGGATACATTAAAATAGTTTCAGAAGCCCCTAGATAAACAAATATTTGGAAAGCTCTTTGTGTCATTTGTACCCATTAAAAGACAGGGCTTAATAATAGTAACTTTTATAGAGTAAGATTTTAAGCAATACTTAATAATTACTAGTAAGTATTTAATCTCATTTCCGTAGGGCCAGTATAATCCCTATTGTTTATCTTTGTATCAAGATAACATGTAGTTTCTTTCCCTTCCTTATGTTCTGATCTTCAAATCCCATCAAAATTAGGTATTATGAACACTTCTTAATGCATTGCCAATTCTGACTACAATTCTTCCAACACCCTGAATCAACTATTCGATGTACATTCAATGTCCAGGGTATACATTTAAATATACCATTCCAAACAAAAACTATTGTTTGCTTGTTTTTGCTTTTTAAAATGTAAATTCCAGGTATGAATTCCCTATGATAAATATGATCATTATACACCTAAAATGTACCAATAAACTTAACTGAAAAAAGATATAAGTTCCAGTGACTCAGACGTGAAAATACTACGCCATAATGATAATCCAGTACAACTGTCACTGATGCACATTTCCTCGCATTCTAGTAAAAAGGTCATTAATATTATACCACAAACAAATGATCTGAACTTCATAGTTATTTCATATACCTAGAAATATATTTCTTTTACATTTGAATTTTAGGCTTATTAGCACATAAAACTAAAACAGGGAAGATTCTCTAATCTAAAGGATAAAACCAAAAAAAGATACAGTTCAAGTCAATTTTCTGTTTTGCAGGAATAAACATATGAAATCTCCTATTATATATTTTCAAAATGACATAACTATAAAGCTATACAAGAGTAATCAAATAACATTATAATTTCTTAAAAATGAAACAAGAATCCATCTAACAGTTTGGTATAAAACCCTGCTCCTCTAAAAGTAACAAGTAACTAGAAAAAAAATAGGTGACAAAATACATGTAGTTGGCTTTAGTACAATCAAAGCTACCAAGAGGCTGCTACAGTGACCCTGTAAAACACTCCTGGTGCCTTGGTTAACCTAAGCTAAAGTACCGCATAGTCAGGATGGAACTAAAAACACAAGACTGCCTACTTTTTGCACTAAGGACTTAGAAATCCTTTTCACAGTAGAACGCTGTTTACTGGACTATACCCACAAGCTTCCTGAAAGTATTTTGACTAAGGCTCTTAAGAAACTCTATCAGCAGAATCTCTGACTAACAGATACACTCCTTTCAGCAGTAAAATCTGCACAGTGTTTGCATCCAGACTATACAGCATGCCAGATCGTGAAACACACTAAAACGATGAGTCTCTGCAAAGTAAGGACCTCGAAAATCTGCTTGAAGAGAATGTAAGTGGGTGGACAGGCACTTTGCACCCCTAACAAGCTTACTAAACTAGTAACAAATACTATGCTTACATATTATGCTACTTTATTATAAATACAAAAATGCTGCCTGTGCTTTATTTAGCAAATGGTACAAACATTATTAATCATTATACTGACACTTATAATGACTAGGAACCCTGTAATTTATTCATCTCATTTCAATAATGGCAATTGTATAACATTGAGATAGACTAAAACAATTTTTCACATTGAAATTTCTACCATAATTTTGAGTTTATTTCAGTCTATCATCTGTAGAAAACCAACTGTCTTTTAAAAAGATAAAATTTTTTTGAAATACAATATATCAAAATAAAAACATTAACAAAACTAAAATACATATTCATTAAGTATACACTTCCTTTTGTAACCTAAAAACTTTCTAAGATTTTATACTACAAGTTTGGATTCTGAGAACTTCAAAATTTTTTACAAAGTAATCAAAATTTTAAAATCGGTAGTAAGATGTAACATATCAGCAATCATCACAAATATTACATACATAAAATACCCCAAACCACCCTTTTTATCATATTTGAGTTAAGCCCTTCAACTAAAGTCAGAAAAATTAAACTAAATAGAAAAATTGATGATTTGTTAAATATTAAAATAGCTGACAACTAAATATTAGATGGAAGTTCTCCATATACAACTAGTGTTTCTGTAAAAAACATTGCAGAATTAAGTTTTTGGCATTTACATCTTACAACTTGTACACATTCTACAACAGACTGCTGTAATTATTCTGAAAGTAGCATTAATCTATCAATAAGAGAAATATAAATAAATCATATTTTCAGTATTCAACATATTAAAAGAAAACACAAATGAAATAAAATACACCTCTATTTCTTATCAAACCTTGCTGAACTATAACTTTAGTCATAAAAAAATCAGAATAATCAGAATTCTTTTATCCTCATGCTATATCTCCCAATATATTCTTCTTGATAATGCAAACGATCACAAAATAGAACATAGTATATTAGTACAATCTGAAGAATGCCTCTGATTACAAAGAGTTTTCCTTAGCTTCTATATAATTTCATGAGACGGTGTTTGAGATGTTAATTTATTCAATAATACTGGAATTTAATAAGCCCCTTTCCACTCTTTGAATTCCAATATATGAATCTGACATTATACTTGGAACAATTTTATTCAAGTATGTGTTCTCACACCGAAGAAGGTGGATGTTTATAAAGTCAATCAAGATAAACTGCTGTTAATAAATACTTTAAACATAATTTAACCATTGAAATTGAAAAGATGGGGCATTTTAAAGCCCCAATTGTTCAAGAAACTAACTTAAAACATAAACCACTCGTTTTATGTTATTATTTCCCTGTATTTCCCACAAAATGTGCTGCAACTGGCATCTAAATAGTTTCTTTGCATGGTGAACTGAAACATCTTGAATGCTCAAACTGTATTTTTATGAGTGCCTAGGGACCCTAAATTTTAGTGGTCTATTAAATGCCAGCAATTTCATGCTGCCTTGCATAAAACAGCATTCACATATTAGAGCACTGAAGTTCCACGGCTACATTATACTCCTGTTCCAACTTTCAAACAAAAAAACTGAAGCAGAAGCTAATCAAAATAATATTTAAAAAATAATCCTTCCCAATCTTTTCACATATAGTTAACATCTGCTACAAATGCATAGCATTTAATTTTTTAAGGACTTTTAAAATTACATAAGCAATTGTTTATCCTCAAGAAATGTACAGAGGTCAAAAACAGAGGCTGGTGGTGGCTTTTTCACACTCATGCACAATATATGCTTATAGCAGATGGCAGTGAAAGTAACCTCATAAGGAAATGATGAATTACATATATTTTCATGCAAAAGCAGCCCCAATATATATTTTACACATTTCTGACTTATATCTCTTATTGTAAGACTTACACAATTGTCTACATTAAGACTTTTTAGTCTCTTACCTGGCAAAATTATCCTTCTCAAAAAGAAATCCAGTCCTATAGTCTGTTTGTACTGTTTCTCAAAAGTTTCTTGAGTAAAACATGTGGCTAAGGAGGTCTAAAAAAAAATTGATGTACAGAATATCAAAATTAATTTGTTTAAAAAAATATAAACATCACTACTAAATCTTATTAAGCAACCTTAATATTTACACTCCAATTAATCCAACAAACAACTGTAAACAGCTCTAATCATGCACAAGGGGAGGAGGGACCTTATACCTACCACTAGGTAGTGAGTCTTCAACTGCAAGCAGCTAGCAATGGGGAAGACAAACTATTAAGTTAGATCTCTTTAAATCCCGGTTGTCAAGTTCCTTCTCCTTGATGGAATTAGAATTTAGGAATTATCAATGGAAAAAACTAAAGCAACATGATTAATCATCTGAATCTTAACAAATAAGTTCAAAAATTTCAGAAAACTCTTAAGTTTTGCTTTTAGATTATATATTCTTGAGGATAGCTGTGCTCTCAGCTAATAATAAGCACTAAATAATGAAGGGGAACTGCTTTTGGGATTTTTTTTCCTGTATGGAAAATCATCTTAATTTTTAAATTTTTCTCTACCTTAAAAGATATTAACAAAACAATTATGTAGAATGATCTTTATAATATGCATCTTTTAAATAACAAGGTAGTATTTTTTAAATTAATGTAAGTAAAGTATTTCCCATCCAAGAACTACAATGCTAACAGGCCACAGTATAAGCAGAGCAGATATTTATTTAGTTTTTAAACTGAAAACTCAAAAGTTTGACTCCAAAATTCTAGAGCTTTTAGACTACCACGTTTTTATGAAAGCAAAAGAATAATCATTTTAATAAAACAAAAAATAAGTAAAGTAAGACATCTGAAACATTTTAAGTACACTATTCTTATTTTAAAATCTTCTGAAAAGAAAATAAAGTTTCACTAAGTCTTTACACTCAAGACAGAATGCCAAAATTAGGAGGCACTCTTTATTTTAAAAGTTAAATGAGATGTCAACTCTTAAAATGGTGAAAACTGAAATACAATTTCTAAGATATCTTACTAGCTTTAATTATGATGTAAGTAAAACAGTACAAAAGAAAAACATCAAATTTCGCTTCATTTTACCAAGATAATGTAAATACACAAGATAGTATTTTGAATCATACAAACAGCAAATCTGCATAGCCTAACTCCAAATCTTTTGTATTAAAATATCAAAATTTGTATATGATCAAGTACTTATTGAGAATTATCATGTGAAAGATGTTCCTTTAGACACTTAGAAATAAATGCACAGATTTGTTACGTTCTTCAAACATAACAATATGAAAACTGAGAAATGAAAATAAAAGAATTTACCGTTTCTTTTTAAATACCTTTTGGGTTTCATTTAGCTTCAGTGATGACATTGAACTTGTCTAACTTAACGTACAAAATCATTTGTGAAGAATCTCAGAAAAATAACTAAAAACACTTACGCTATTTCAAATATTTAATACATAGATGGCTGGGATATTTAAAAGTTAAAGCAAAATTCATGGTTCACATAACACCAGTATAATGTCATTTAAGATAATTTTTCACTTTAGAAGTCAAAATTTATTTTTTTCTATAAATTACAATTCAGAAAAATCCAGAATAAGGTTTTTTTCTTAGAAACAGGACTATGAGATTTTTTAAAGCCCTTCCCTCAAATGTTTGAGGCAAACATAAAGCCTCAAAATCACACGATTTTTTAATGGGAATGGAGTATAAACTGTCAAAACTCAAAGTCCAGGGAACACACAGAATATTAAAATTGTTTTATTGTCTCGACATCTTGCTACAGAAATCACACAGAGAAGTAACTGAATCAGGAGCTGGCACTTCCTTTCCAACTACCTAGCCTTCATGCCATCTTCCACATTCAGTGAATTTCTCACAATTCCCCGCACAAATAATCTTCCAAAATTATTATAAAGTAAGCAAACAGCTCTCACATCGAAAACATTTTTAACTGATTTTTGTATAGATTTGGGAAATTTCTAACTTTTTATCAAACTACATTTACAAACACTGATATCACAACAAAAAAGAATGCTTTTGCCTCAAAAAAGATCTTAAGAAAACGTACATTAAAATCAAAGTTATGAATCAGAACAGGAAGAAACAGAAACACGTGTTACTGGAGGGAGGAGCCAGTGGTCATCTCAGTACTTTCCTCCACTGCTTCTGTCAGTGAACACAAAAACACTCAGTGTTGAAACCACCAGGGAAAACTAACGCTAAAAAATGGAGGTGCAGTAAATCAAGATACATACACGAATGATAGAGAAGCTGTTCATAAAAGGACAGTACAAGAAAGGGAATAGGAAATGCTGGTAGCTGCTGATAACTTGAAAGCTGAATAAAGGATGGAGAAAAAATGCTTGCTATATAACTAACAGAAGGTTATGTTCATTTCAGTAAATTTCTGGCAGAAAAGGTTGTTTCAGTTTGAAGAGACTAGACAAGATAAACACTTAAGTTAGAGCACCATAAAAAATCACTGTTACTCTTTTGGTGCAGAATGTCAGTCCTGATTCAATAATATAGGAATTAAAAAATACATATGCTTTGTTCTGTGCTAGACTTAGATTTAAATAGAGATGAAAAATCGTAATTATTCACAGTAAACTAGTAACAAAGGGAAAACAAGTGTGATGGTCTAAATTTTTTTAAAAAACTAGAAAAAATTAACAAATTCTAAGTAACATGTACAGTACACAAGTACTAGAAGGAAAATGAACAAAAGTTTAAAGAAATATGAAAGGATATAGGATAACAGATAATTCTAAGAGTCTTTTTACAAATGTATTAGTACTGTAGATTGTTATAATTTTAAGTGAGAAAGAAGCTCAGTCATTAATTGAAACCAATAAATTTTGGAAAACAAAAAAATTAGCTGCATGTCATGAGAAAATCTAAAGAAGCTGGGCATTATGGTTCAGGCCTGTAATCCCAGCACTCCAGAGGCTGACGGAAGAGGACTGCACAGCTCAAAGGCAATCCTAGGATACACAGGGAGATCCTACCTCAATCAAATCATAATAAAAATTAAATTTAAATTAAAATCTAAAAAAATAAATGGGAAAACAATAAAAATCTAACAAAATTTTTGCTGGCCAAACCATTAAAAAGATCATTTATTTATAACAATTTACTTACTCTAAAAGGTTTTTAAGTGCATAAAACCTCTTAGAATATTCACAAACTGTCCCCAAGTTCTTTTCTTCCCCTAAAATATTTAAAAGGTAATCACAGCATATTAAATTGCTTCCTCAACAAAGTACACTGCAAAGACAAAAGTCAACAGAACATCCAAATTTTGCATATAAATCCATCTTCCCCAGGACCACTAGAAATTCAAATTTCAGAACCAAAAGCAGCAGCAGCAGCTCATGGGCAGTGCTAGCTGCCAGAGGATGCAAAGAAAAGTGAGCATCGCAGAAACCACAGTTCCAACTACATCAAATGCGAATCCAAAGATGGGAAACGCAGCAGAAAGAACCAGCGCGTCTGAACACTCAGGCTGGAAAACATATATACAAGGCAGCCAGCTACCAACATCTACGGGAACTGGCGCCCTTGACACAAGCGACAGGTGTGCAGGCACCCTGGACAGAGGCTCTTCACTGGACTGGGACACTGGGTGCCAGCGCCTCTGAGATCCTACGCACATTCTCCCTAGAGCAAGGACAGGGCAGTTTATTACACTCCAGGAGGTCCACAAGTGCTCCTTGCCTAGCAGCTAAGGAGATCGCCTGGCAGCAGGCTATTCTCAAGTCGCTGTTCGCTGAAACAACGGCCGCCAGCTAGATCTGAAGGCAAGGCTGCCTCCACCAAGCTGGCAACTTGACCCTCAGCATCCTAGCCCAACACGAGCGCCAAACACATCTGCTGAATGCATGCTGGTACTGACCGGAGCTGTGCTGGGGGCAGAGATGAACAACACGCGTGGTACTAAAATCCCAAACAACATTTATTGAGTGTACACCGTACTCTAGACGCTTTATGTGCATTTTCACGTATTTTCACTTTTCGCCCTTTGTGGGGACCCCTATTGATAGGTATCTTACAGAGGAATCGCGCGCAGGCCCGCGATGTGCCCTCCAGTGACTGGAGCAGTAAAGGATCCCTAATAATCGCCCAGGGAATCTGATTCCGGGGCAAAGCTCTTGGGAGCTCAAGGTGCAGTGCAGGCATCAGAAATGGGAGAGGGGCGGGGGCGCAGGTGTGACCGGGCTGCAAGGACAGGAGGGAAGAAGCTTTGGCCGATCTCCGCGAGTCCTTCCAGGGAAGAAGCGGGAAAGCCTCCCCGGGAGGCGACGCCGGCCCGAGTCTTGTAGGAAAGCATGATGCAGGCAGGGATTGGGGATCCACTGTTCCGTTTTTCTTACAGGGGCGCAGGACGGCTGCCCTCGGCCTCCACCACGCGCCCACTTCCGGCCGCCCTCGGCCACCACTAGGTTGGCCCGGGCCTAAAGCAGCCGGGCACAGGGTGGTCAGGCGACTCTGGGCGGCGGGGAGGCAGCGGGGCCGGCGGGGCCGCGCCCGTTCGAGGACTGACCTTCCCGGAGGTGCCGTCCCCCAGCACGACGATTTTCAGTTGCCGGTCCTGGCTGTCCTCCTCAGAGTCCGACATGTTGTCCCGAGAATCTGGCCCGCCCCCCAACGTGGAGGGAAGAAGCGAAGGAGAGACTTTCGGGGGCAGGGAAGCGAGGAAGATGGGCAGTGAGGATCTAACCCTCGCCCCGGCGTCGCTCCAGCCGCTGGGGGATCCAGGACAATCACTCGCTCAGCGCCATTTTGCCCGCCTCCCCGCCCCCCGACCCGGCGCGCGGCCCCGCCCCTGAGCCTGACGTCAGCGGGCTGCACCGCCCCCTACGCCGATGAGCGCGCTGATCGCGAGTCTCTCGGACGGGCAAGACCATAATGGCAGCGAGGGGTGTCCAAACAGGAGATAGGAAACGCCGCGCTGTCCCCGCAGCCCAGTGGACGAAGACACAATTCAATGTATCTTTCAAGTGTAGTGAGCAAAATTTGGTATAAGATTCTCTACCAGATCTCCTCTTTGTGTCCCCGCCTGAGAGGAAGAGAATGGTTTAGGCCTAGGGGCGGGGTCAAGGGGCGGTCATCCCTGGTTGCCATGGAAGCCAGAAATCGCCAACAAGGCGGCTGAACTGGGGTTGTCTCTAGGCTCTGCGAACGCGCGTGGCCCGGTGGGTCGCTCCGGGGAGGGCAGCCTGAGCCGAGGTGCCCTGCGGAGATTGCCAGATGGAGAGCGGCGGCGGGGGGGCGGAGGAGTCCCGGGAAGCTGTTATTGCTGCGGGGAAGTGTAACGGAGCTCCGGGCTTCTACTTGTTTGAACCTCTCAAATCCTGGGTTTCCTGCTGTGGCTGCGCGGAGTCCGAGGGTTCATTCAGTCGTCGGGCGGTACTGAGAGGCCAGCTCCTGGCGGGACAGTCTTCGCCCCAGGGCACCTGTCGCGAAGCGAGGTCCAGGCACTCCTGGGATTTCTAGCGAAGTCAAACAATTTTTCGTAGTAATCAGCACTCCCTGTTTGCCTTTTCACCTTCACTCTCTCACAGGATTACAGTTATTCCAAGGATACCTATAGAGCATTACGTCATCATTTTGACAGCTAAAAGCTTTTGCTTGCTATTTTTTTTAACATTATTAATATTTGCAGTACGTTAATGTTAGGTATAACCCACATAGCCATAAATTCTTTGAAGTTCTCTGTAATTAAGACACAATATACTTGAAAATTGGATTTTGTGTAAGTGACAACTGAAAACTATAATACAATGAGATAAATTCTACAATAATGATGCAAGTTTTACATGGCTTACCACCTTTACTCCTTTTTCAGAAATGTCTTAAAGAAGGTAGAATCATTCCCAGGGGGCTGGGGATTTAGCTCAGTGGCATAAGCACCTGCCTTGCAAGCAGGCAGTTGTGAGTTCAATCCCCGGTACTGATAAAAAGGAAAAAGACAAAAAAAGAAAGAAAGAAAGAAGATAGAATCATTCCCATTTTACACAGGAGGAAGCCTGAATGGCAAAAAGTTCAGAGGCTGTAGTCCTAAAGAGAGTACAGGAATTTAAATGGAGAAAACAATACAGTATAAAGAACTGGAGAAAGAACTGGAGTTCTCATCACAAAGCCATACTTGTGTGACCTGAAGCCACATTTTCCTTATCTATAGAGTGGACTATCTCCTTCCCACTGGTGGGTGAAAATAAAGTGAAGGAATTGATGGAAACTGTTGATAAGGTCCCATGAGTGTCATGGATATCGTCAGGCCTGGGATGTGGTATTAGCCAGTGCAGTTACTGCCTTCCTCCTCCGGGTGTGTGATGGGAACATCATGAATTCCTAGTCACCTCAGCTTAGACAAGCTTCTTAGGTACAGTGTCTGTCTTATCTGTCAGTAGGACGGAGCCACAATAATACACACCTGCTTTGTATCAGTTCCCACTTCTTTGCCTTCTCCCCAGGGATCCACCAAGAGGCCTTTCCAGATCCCTAGACTTGTTAATAAGAATTAAAAGCAAGGGAATGTGTTAAAGGGCCTTGTAAAGTTGTTTGTAATATGAATAGTCTGCTTCTAGGGAAAACGATTCTTTTATGTCCAGAATTAAAATTAATATGCCAAGAATTTGTTTTTCCAGTCCTCCTTGAAGGAAATGGCTGTGTGACCCACCTGAACAATGAGAAGATGATAGTGTCTTTGAGAAACATTTGAAAAAAGTGCTCGTTCCAACTAAAAAGCAAAGAAAACTCTCTCTTCCCTTTCTTTGCTGTCATTATTGGGAGAGAACATGATGTTCAGTACTCCTAACCTTTTCAGACTATCTTCTAGGCACCTTGTTAGGAGAAATAATACTACTAAGTCATTTAAGAAATGTGTTCTTAACTTGCAAGCAAACTACTTCGGCTGAAGACTAGAGTTAGCCAACATTGAAAGATGGATTGTATGGCTTCATGTGAAGGGAAATCTCGAACAAAACGTTTTCTAATCATCAGTTTCTGAAATGATTCCTCTGATGGAGAGACTTTTATTTGCATATGGTTGCATGCCTAGGACAGAGTTACTATTTTAAAAGTCAATTACTACTTTAAAAATCTATGGCAAGTTTTGGGATTTAAAATGAGAATTTGAAAATTTAGAACCATTTTAATAAATTTAAAGCAGAACTTTCTTTCCCTTGTGTGAAGCAACATGCTAGCCTTGAAAACTGCCAATATAGTACTCTGACATTCGACATAAAAGCAGAGCTGATCTACATTCATACACACACACATGTACACAAGCTCACATACACACAGTGTCTATGAATTCTCAATCCAATGGCCACAACAGGACCACAAACTAGGAAAATGCCTTTTAGTGTTCTTAAAACTAATAAAAAGTTTAGAGATTTCTAAACATTTCCAAAAAATAGGTGTTCTTTAGAAAGAGAATCCCAATTTGAAAATAGTGATGCTGGCATCTACATTCAAGAAGTTTGTTACTTCATGAAGCAGCCTGGACAGTGGATGAAGAAGGCTTGGTTGTCAAAATACTTTCTAAAGAAAGTCTCAACATAAATTCCAGCTAATGTTATTAGTCTTCTCAAGTAAAACAAAAACTCCCAGTTCTAAAGAATGATCAAAGTAACTCAGTGTTTAATGCTCGATTCAAGGGATACTCAATGAATGCCTACTGAGTAGTAGGCATTCTGTTCATGACTTCTAAGAACTGAGGACACAGAAGCAAAATGTGTAAAAGTTGCGCTCGGGGGCTGGGGATTTAGCTCAGTGGCATAAGCGCCTGCCTTGAAAGCAGGCAGTCGTGAGTTCGATCCCCGGTACCAATAAAAAGGAAAAAGACAAAAAAAAAAAAAAAAGACAGATCTGGTGTACATCATTCATCAGATGTTAAGGGGGCTGGGGATTTAGCTCAGTGGCATAAGTGCCTGCCTTGTAAGCACATGGTCGTGAGTTTGATCCCCAGTACCAAAAAAGATTTAAAAAATTATTTAAAAAAAAAAAAAATGGGGCTGGAGATTTAGCTCAGCGGCATAAGCGCCTGCCTTGTAAGCAGGCGGTCGTGAGTTTGATCCCTGGTACCGATAAAAAGGAAAAAGACAAAAAAAAAAAAAAAAAAAAAAAAAAAAAAGTTGCGCTCGATTGACTTTACAGTCTGATAGAGGAATGTAATCCTGCAGAGTAGTAACCCAGAGATGTCAGCTCCAAATCATCAGAGACTGTAAATGTTGACTGATTTGGAGGAAGCATCTTTCAGATGTCATTCAATGAAAAATCCTGAGTTAGCAAGCTCATCTTGGATTATCCTGGTGGACTCTCAGTATATCACTTGTATCCTTATAATGGAGAAGTGAAGAAGATTTGACTCAAACAGAAAGAGAAAGCAATGCTACTCTAGTCACAGAGACTACAGTGATACAGCCACAAGCCACTGGCCACTGAGGAATGGTAGTGGCAGTGGAAGCTGGAAGGGACAGAACACCAAATTCTTCCCTGGTGTTTAGAGAGAAAGAACAACCTTGCCCACATTGACTTCAGTCCAGTAACACTGATTTAAGACATGTAGCCCTCATCTTTGTAAGAAAATAAGTTTATGTTATTTGAGTTACTAATTTGATTTAATGGCCACACAAAGTTAACTCAAAGAAAAATAGAGATATTTAAGTAATAAGAAAACTTGTTATTTAAAATAGCTAAAAATAAAGCAGCTGGTATGAATGGTATAGAGCAAAAATATCAACATTTATTATTCATCACTAGTAAATCTATGTTTTACAGTCTTAAAAAGGGTAAGACATTCAGAAACCGTGGAACTGGGCCTTGGATAAACCTGAACATCTGCATTTGGCAATATGCTTTTGAGTATCTCATCTGCTGTATCTTGTGATCTCTTCTGACACATGAATTTTCACATATTACTTTGGTGAGCATTATAAAAATGTCACTTCCATATATATAAATATATACTTAGCTCACTTGCAGTGAAAACCTCCCTGACTCTGTTTAGTTGATAGAGAATAATGCTAAATTCATCTGAAAGAAGAAACAAAAATAGCCAATAAATGTAAGAGTATGCAGCAAGTCATACAGGATTCATTAATAAGTAACCCAATTTTTAAATATAATTCTATCATATAATATTAGTCTTACATATGTTACTCTTTTATGGAAAAATTACGAAGTGTTATACAAAGACGCAGAATAAAAACTAATAAAGACATTCATGAAGCAATAAAGCAATGTAAATGTCAGTTTTGTCAAGTGACCTACAAAATTAATACAAATCAAATTATACTTTTCATGGAATTTAAAAGGAGTTTGTATATGGATGCCAAAGATCAAGCAATATCCCAACATATTTCAGAAGGAGAACCTAAAAGAACACATCCTACCAAATATAAAGACTTTATATAAAGTCATAGTAACTAAAATATACTGTAGTATTAGTACGAGGATAAATTCCCATGTTTATAGCAGCACAATTGAAACAGCCAAGTCTTGGAAACAATCCAAATGTCCATCAACTGAGGAAAAGATGCAGCATTTTTATACAGTAGAATACTAGTAAGCTATAAAGAAGGATTGCATCAAAGCTTTTATAGGTAAATCAAAGTGACTGAAGACCATACTCATGAGTGAAATAAACTCACATCTGTAAATATATTGTCTCCCTAGTGTAGTAAAATACAAGAGTAAGATCCAAATTTTACAATAAATATTGTGAAAGGGTAAGAAACTACTCAAAAGGAAAAAATAACTGGGATAGGGAAAAGGAAAAGGAAAAAGAAGGGAAGAGAAAAAAGATATAAATTTG